AACTGAGCCTTGATCACAGAGAGTGTTGGGGGTGTGTATTAGCATGCCTTGGCCATCTTGAGAGTATTTATTTTCAGTTTCAGAGAAATGCTTTTGAGAACAATTGATATTTAGGTTTGGTAGCAACAGAAACAATGAAGGAAATGGGAGGTTATATGATGTACAGGCACAATGCATCACATTCCTGACTGCAACTTTCATGAATGGGTTCTGATTTCTGCTCAGCCCCAGGTAAGCAGCATTATTCACATTTATTTTCCTTTACTTTCAATGATTGATGCAGCTACTTCTGTGGATGCAGAGTGGGCATTCTCCACTGGTCACAATCAGATCAATTTCACCCAGCACAATATCAACTTTCAAACATTCAGAGAAGAAATGGCTCTTAGATTCTGGATTAAATTCCCCTTCTACCCAGCTTCAATAAAGTTACACAAATGATTGAAAAAAGATGGACAATGATTTCTTTTCCTCTTAAATAGGTTTTTGTAACACATTGTGTCACCAAAATTGTTCTTTCAATACCTCTGGGTTCATCAAGGTAAATTTGAATGTTCTCCTGTTTTTTTATTGGGGCATATTGTGATTGCTTTCACTAAAAATTGAATTCATTAACAGGATTTCAAAGATTTCTGGTGACAAGCTTGGGTGACAGCTGGGAACAAAACCCAGGTCACAATTTGGACCCCTTCCACAAGCAGCAGGGGCCAGGAAGTTGTTGTGATAGCATTCTGTCATGGTGGAAGGGAGTTGGGGGTACAAATAACACTCTTATCTATTCTGGGCACGTATGCTCAAAGTATTTCACGAAGGTCTAAAAATATCTAATTTACCCACAGATACCTGCGGATAGTCCGGGTACTTACCCGAATCCATCAGTTGAGTCCAAATATGGGTGGATTTCGGGTTCACCCGGGCTTTAGCTATCCGTGACAGTCCCTACTGCAGAGGACGGCCGAGGAGTACAACAAGAAGGGAGTTGACCTGGAACTCAAGTCCAAGTAAGTTAATTTTCATTATTCTAATGTTGGCTTATCTGGACCTTTGGTAGACTGGCTGTAAAGAACTGCACGGCTTGGATGCATGCATTTTCCAAGGAACTTTATGACACAATGGGTGTCTGGGTCTTTATCTTAGGATGTTATCTGAAGCCCGATGGTAATTTGGACGTCTCGACGTACGACTTCAATCAAGAACTCGGCAATGGGAAAGACTTTATTGATAACCATAGCCGGACTTTCCATGAGGAAGGAATATTGGTATCTTCTTGGAGAGCACACAATGAAGAATACTATGGGTTGGAGGATCTTGCTTCGGCCGAAGGAGGACACCGATCCCGGGGTGCTATGACTTTGGAGAAGAACCTATACCTGGAACCTATTCTACCCGATCCATCGAAACCACCACTTAAAACTTCCTGTGATATTCGAATTTGGTGGCTGAATGTTCTTCGTACATTTGTCAACCAGCACTATAGTAAGCCGGTCCCCAGAGATTTCTTGCCCTGTATCACTAAACATTTGTCTAAGATCTTGCAGCTGGGCAGAGTAAGGGATCGGCTCCTTGGACGGCTATTGGATCAAAGTTACTTGACTTCATTGATCTAGAATATATACCCACGACTTGGAGATCAGTAAATGGAGAAGGTAACAACTTTTACAAGTTTCTTGATCCCTCCAAATTCCCGATGGAGATGGTCACTGAAGCTCTCCAGTTTTGGTATGAACGTCAAGAACAACACAAAGTCGCCTTTCGATTTAAATCCTTTCTTGAGGGGAAAATGCTGCTGGAAGCACCTCCACGAAGGAAAATCAAAGTTCACGTTCCTAAACCTCATGTTCATAGTGTTGGGAAGGGCAAGAAGCCTGGCAGAAGCAAGGGGTCAAAAGGAGAGGCCGGGGACACAACCCGGATTCCCCCGTTAAAATAAGGGAACCCCGGCCCCATAAAAAAAAGGAAAGGGGGGGGAAAAAACCCCCCATTTTTTAAAAAAACACCCTTGGAAAAAAGTTTTTGAATGGTGGAAAACCCCCGCCCCAAAAAAACCACCCCCCCCAAATTTTTTTTTAAAGGGGAGAAGGGGGGGGCCCCCCTATTAGGGGGGGGGGGGCCCCCCCCACAACCCCAGGGGGGGAGAAAAAACTTTTTTGTCCTTGGGGGAAAAAACACCCCCCCCCCAAAAAAACCCCCCNCCCCCCACTACCCGGGTGGGGGAGAAAAAACCCTTGGGGGGGGGGGGGGCGCTCCTTCTTTAATATATGAGGCGCCCCCACCCCCCCCCCCCCCATAGGTGGGGGGGGAAGAAG